AAATGGATTATAATTAATATTTTTATCATTGAATTCGACCGATTAAGATAAGGTACAACCAAGGAACTTGCACGCGAAAAGCATAGTTCTCAACTTCAATTCGGGTTTAAATTTCCATAATCCCAGCTTCCCTGTCACTCCATCAAAAATGTGTTGCCTTGGTCACTGCTAACAACTTGTGTCAACTACCGCCATTTCACACAATCACAAAATGGAGAATTCAACGAGAGAAGATATGGATTGCGATCACACCGAAAATGTTTCTACCATCGTTGCCAAAGTGCGAAGTGAACGGCTGATGAATTTTCTCGAACGGATAGCTCGAACCGTTCGAACGGATGATGAATATTCAAGAACGGATAGCTTGAGTCGTTCAAACGGCATGCCAATCCAGTCGAACGGCCGATGAACGACTGGTGAACGGCTTTCCGTTTAAAAACGGGTAACCGTTCGGAACGTTTTCCCGTGAGAGGTCACATATTGAATTAAGTTTGGAGTTTGACTTGGCTTAAGAAAACAAAATTATGTTGGGTCCAGTTTGACCTATTGAGTAAGGTGTTCGACTCGGGCCTAGGAAAGAAATAATCTAAGTCACTTTGGGGATCATGTTCGGCTTATATGCATGTTTATACATTTATGCTTGACTTCAAGTCAACTGTTGTGTTAGTGGACAAATTTTTTTTAGACAGCTGACCAAGTTTGAATAAAACTTTGAACCTAACTGTAATTCTGATGGAATTGTCTGAGTTCAGGAGGGATCTTTCCACTTGCAACAGTTTGCTTGATGTACTTCATTAGATCACTTGTGCAAATCTCACACCCTTGATTAGCAGTGGCTGTCTTCGGAAGTCCACAATGGCAAAACCAGTCATCACAATCGCGAACTCTCTTAGGAATATAAGAATCACTTATGTTCCTCTTCTTACAGCGATAGGCAATGCTGTATGGATCTTTCTCTCGCAGGCATACCATGCAGACAAACTCGTGTCTGAACACAGTCCACCGCCTTAGGCTCTTTCTGGCATTGCATGTGTTCTCCACATACTTAACCAATTTCACATGCTTTGCTTCTCTACCCTGCATTGAATTCAGGCCCAATCCATACCCAAGCTTCTGATACAATTTGCTAGTGTGGTAGGGGATGGCTCCTCCTACTGTCCAGATGGTAGGAGTGATGTCGGCCAGCAACAAACAATTGGCATTGAAAAATTGTTGGCATAAAACCTTTAAATTTTCAACTTGCTCTTTGCTCACCTCAACTCTTGAGTAAATTGAAACTGCATCTCTCAGTTTGACACCAATGAATGACAATGTGTGGAGTTTCAGAACATGTCCCTTTGAAAGGTTGGGGATCTTCAGAAGTTCCTGAATCAAAGTGCCAAATTCCCAACAGAAGTACTTTGAGTCAAGTCCTTTGAATCTATATGAGAATGAAATTCCCTTCTTCCGCTTCTCACTGAACCACCGCAGAAAGGCCTTGTACAGTCTCCCACACTTTAGGGTGTCTTAAAGGCACTTCAGAAATGCAAGCAGGGGGGAACTGTCTGGAAGATCAGAAACTGCTGTTACTGACTTGAGGTGATTCTGGTGTGTGTAATGCATTACAATGGCAAGTGCAGTTAAAAACCAGCTCTGCCAAGCATTATTTGTGTTATGTAGAGGTTCAGCCTTGAGTAAATCCACATACATTCCCAATGGGGGTACAAATTCTTGTCTAGACTTGTTTTGAGCTATGAATTTAGTGACCTCATTTCTTTGTTTCCCCATGGGATCTCGAAGTTTTGTCTTCAACTTCTCAACTCTCTCTGCCATGACCAGTCTCTTTGTGTAATCCCATGGCTGCCATGTTGCTTCAGGACCACCAATAGTACCACCTATGGTTCTCTTACTTGTTTGATTAACATTGGAAAATGGTGAAAAATAAGTTGCACAATTGTTCAGTTCTCCTGAGTGGGATGACATGCACTTCATGTCAGATGGGATTAACTCAAATTTGAACACAACCTGCTTTCCACGTTCAGTGGTCAGTTGTTTGCCTTCTACCTCCTCCATTTCTTCTCTCAGATGGTTGGTGTATGACTTCATGAGTGCAAGGTCTTCTTCGCAATTAGCCCCCAGAAGTAAATGGTTATCATTACAACTTTGCACTCTTTGCAACAAGTTCAGGAAACTAACCAAGTATGCAGTGGCAGTATCATCTTTACCAAATGGTGCACCATCTGCCCCCACTGCCACATACAGCACTCCCTCTTCTCCATTGAACCACTGTAGACAAGGGTCTTTTTCATGGAGTGTCAGGTACATGTCAGCAAGCCTCAAAAGGAAAGGTTTAAGGGGCCTGTACACGCCAGGAACTGATTCTATAGAAAGCTTTTCTGCTAAAATTTCTAAAGATAAAACCTCACCAAGGTCAATGTTCTTGATATAACTCATCAGAGTTTTGTACGGAAGGATCTTGGGAATATCACAGCTTTGCATAAATTGTGATTTCTTATTTTTCCTTGATTGATCAGAAGATTGTTTCATCACATCACTGCTGTTTCGTATGTTAGTGTACTTCCACTTACTTACCATCCCCCCTTCGTACAACACACGCATGCTCCTAAGCTGGTTTTGATCACTTTTTTCACATTCTTGAACTCTCCTTTTAACAATCTTCGGAATAATATCATTCATGCAAACTGCTGAATTAGCAATGTAAGATTCCATCACTTGTCTTGAAGTTGTGCCAATTAATGTGGTCCACAACCCATCTTGCACAGATTTGTCATCAGAGACTGACATGCTGTTGCTTCCACAATGTATTGGTTTTAGTGCAGCAATGGTCTTTTTTTTCCTTCGTAATTGCTGGAATCTTGATAGTTGCTCAAGCTTGTCGCTGCTATCATTCTGCACTTTACTGCTTACATATGGCTTCCGAGGCTTTTTTAATTGGATTGGACGTTCATTTTCATTTGCAATAGCTTTAAGTTCAGTGATCTGTTATTGGCAATAAATAGATTATCAATGGATCATTAATTTTAATGATCTCAAGAATCAGAAAATTAATTTGAAAAATATATTGACTCAGGAGATCTAGACTCAGTGTTAATGTTTTCAAGACCGAAGTTGCTTCAGTCACTAATAAAATAGTGACCAGTATTATTATAACAGAAACTGATGAGAACACAAATATGTCTCAGGTTTAATCCTATACATTTAAGGCTGTACATTTCCTATACTCCTACAATTGAGTTGGAGGAAGTTCAAAAATGTTTTAATGCAATTTCTCTTTGGTGACTACTTTCTTTATAATCCTCCCATAACTATGGTATTATACATGTAAAATGAATTGATCCTGTGAGAGCAAGTTTGATGTTGATCTTGCAATCTTGAGACTTAAAGGAATATAACAGCCAATTTTGCTATCAAAAGAATCTCAAGCTTAAAAAAATATGTGTTAAAAACACTGATTTCTAGCAGAGAGTTCAAACCTTTTAAAAAATGACCCATATGGCCCATTTCAAGGGGGTCCATGAACCTGCATGGGATCAATATTTTGTAATGAAACAGAATGCAGATTGCATACAGACTGCATCAATGGCTACAATACCTCCATCTGTTAGTGAAGCTTTTGTAGCTCACAGAACAACTGTGTTGTACAGAAAATCAGCTTTAAGTCTGAGCCCCCCATGATAATATATATCACACAACTGATATGGAGAAGTTAAATGAACAAACCTTTCGTTTTCGCCTGCGTACAATTTCTTGTTTGTTGTGTAATTTAGTTCCCAATTCGTCAATGTTGACTCTGTCAGCAGCCAGTTGCCTTTTGAGCTCTAATATTTGTGCATCTGCATCAAGTAATTTCTGCATTTCAGCATTTACCTTTTCCTTCTTGAGCTGTTGGTATTTTCCGATCAAAAATCTTGTTTTCTTGTTACTTGCCGCCCATGGTGGACTGAAAACGCCATGATTTATTTTTGCCAGGAGAAGACAAAAGCAACGACTGAATACATATTTAACAAGCACAGACATCGAACTAAGATCGTATCATTTCGGATTTTTTATTAAAGCTCATTACACTCCGAAAAATGCCCAAAGAAAATGATTACCTGAAAGGCTCGCCAGAGTCACTTGGCTCTGAATTTTCGCCTCCAATCATATCCTTTTTTTCCGAAGTTATCGAGCTAGAATGTACTTATCACGCACCGACAGAAAGCTTATGAATTCAACTCTCTCGATATGACCACCAAAATTGTATTGCTCGTACCAGTCCTCCAAAATATCGCCTAAAGCTCGGCCTCCCCGGGATGTATGCCGGCACCCAGAAGCCTTTGCAGACTTTTTCAGCGCAATTTGAAAAAACTACCCTCGCGTGTCGCGCACATAGAAGGGGTGGTCTGGCCCCACCGTGTTTGGTTATGTACTAAAGCAAAATAAGGATGATGAAGAAGGTGTGCGAAATGGTCTGAAGTCTATTGTGCCCCATGCTTCCTTCCTTCCTTCCAGTGGCGACTGGTGTGGCTACTTAAAAAATGCTATGTCCTACAAACACAGAGGCCTTCCCCATGGAAAGGATTTGATGTACAAAAGCTTGAGGCAGTACCTAGAAACGATCATAGAAGTAAGTACAGTGTACGAGTATGGTGGCACAGCTCGCTCCTCACAAATTCCTAACTCCAACCATTTTACATGTAGTAGAGGAACACAACTCTTAGAAAATAGTGTTAGTGCTTATGATTGTATTCTAATTAATAACTGCAAGGGATAGCGCTATAAGTGTTAGGGGACTATCAACCTCTTTCTCCATTTCACAAGCTTTATTAGATACCAAATTTTAATGAATAAAAACCATTTGCTTCTTCAATTTAGGTTTATGCTTCAAATGCCAAGAAGCTAGCTTCCCTTGGGTCGAACCAGGCAAATGAAGCAGTCAACAACGCTATAGAAAGCAAAGCTCCAAAGATCAGACACAACGGATCTAGTGAAAGCAATGACTTCCGTGTTGCATGTGCTGTTGGCCAAAAGAACTTAGGCCATTCTTATGTTTCTCAGGTGAGCAGATATAATATTGTGAGCATTTTGTACACTTCCCAATTTGTGAGATCCATTAAACATTACACATTATCCAATGTGTCTAGTGTTGTACCACCAGTACCTATTTCATATCATAAGTCACAAAAAAAAAAATGAAACACCACTATATTATAACTTAGAATATGGTTTTTTATGAAGACACAACTATCTCCAGGTTCCAATTCTTTAAAGCTTGCAAAGAAAATGGACAAGAAAATACTAAGTTTGAAAGAGAAACAGAAAACAAGACAGTAAAAGAAGAAAAGAATTGCAAAGAAAGTGAAGCGGTTGAAAAAGACAAAACAGCTTGAGAACAGAGAAGGACAACAGTATAGTTTTGGAATGGTCTTTGATGGACACAATGCTGCTCAGGAAATTCCAGCATCACCTGCAGCCTCAAAGATTGAGAGAGTATCATTAACCAAAGACTACCATCAAATCATGTTTGATTGGGAAACATCTGGAAGGGGTAATTAGCTTTACAGGGTGGAGTTTAGGAAAAAAGTAACAAAGGGAATATAACAATGTTTGTCATAGCAGGGTATTTCTGATTGCACATTAGAGAATAATTAACAACTATTCACCGAAGTGGAGATGGTTAGTGGTGGATATTTACCGAGCCGTGAAGCGGCGAGGTATATATCCACCGCTAACCACCGACACTGAGGTGAATAGTTGTTTTAGTATGTACTAAAACAGTGAGATAATATACACCACCGTTGTTAATTTGAGTGATTTCTTCCCTTGTCACGGATGCAAACCGGGATGCCATTTTTTCACGAGTTGCTCGGAGGTAAATAGCAAAGGAGGTGAATAGTTGTTTTAATATATACTAAAACAGTGAGATAATAAACACCACCGTCGTTAATTTGAGTGATTTCTTCGCTTCTCACGGATGCAAACCGGGACGCCATGTTTTCCCAAGTTGCTCGGAGGTAAATAGCAAAGGTTATTCGGAGTTTGACTAGCCAATCAGAGCGCGCCTTCAACGCTATCCACTGTTTTAGTATGTACTAATTATATTTGATCATGGAATTGTTTTTCTATTTTGCTAAATTACTGAATACTCATCCTGCTAATTTGCATCACATAGATTCCTTTGTTTTATCATGGCTTGTTCTTAAAGAAAGTAGTTGAGATGCAAATTAGCAGGAGAGGTATTCAGAAATCACTCCTTCTATTTTAATTTTAGATACACGCCGCATAGATGCACTAAGCTTTTTCATTACATTTTTCTTTGTAATATCTTTGTAAAGTAATAATTGGATTACAATATCTTAAAACAGGTAATGATGCTGAAATCCTACAAATTGCAGCAACAGATGGTAAAGATGAGTTCTCTATTTATATCAAGCCATCTAATGTAATATCACCAGAAGCATCTACTGTGAACAAACTCACCTTTCAAAGAGGAATACTGTTTTATGATGGGAAGCCAATCACTGATGCTGTTGCAATTGATGTGGCCCTGAAGACCTTCATTGAGTGGCTCAAATCAAGAATGCCTTGCATTTTAGTCGCACACAATTGCAAATCCTTTGATGCCAGGTTCTTGGTGCAAGAAGCAGAGAAAAATGGAGTCATGGATGACTTAGTTAAAACAGTTTCTGGCTTTACAGACTCTCTTTCAGCATTCAGGGAACTGCTTCCTGAAAGGAAATTCCATAGCCAAGAAAACTTAGTACAAGATCTTCTGTCTAAATCCTATGAAGCTCACAATGCTCTTGCAGATGTGCAAACACTTTACCAGCTAGTGAACAAGTTTCTAAATGTCAAACTGCTACATAAGCACAGCTTCAAAGTTTCATGGGCGGCATCCTATCAGAAGCTCCTAAAAGAAAAGAAACTTCTGGTTAATACCCTACAGCCATTAGTTAGAGAGAAGTACATTTCAGCCTCAATGGCCATTAAATGTACAAGCTCAGGTTTGGGTCTCCCTCACCTGCAAGTGGTATACCAAAGAGGCAAGGAAGAAGGGGTGAAGCAAGTTCTGATGGAGAGGTTTGACAACAAACCCAGAGTCTCCTCAAACAAGCGGGTGCTGGCGCAAATGTGTCGGTACTTTATAGATAATACAAATTAAGATTGTGATTTGTGCAATTAATGTTTTGAAATAATTTTTGCATGGAAAATGTAGTGGTCAGAATGAGGATCAGTGAGACACTGAAGTGTGGTTTTGAAGTATAAAAAGCAAATTTTAAAGTACAGTTCGTCTTTTTTCAGAGTATACTACATTGTACTGCACTCCTGTTAGAGTGATGGGTGAAGAATTCACATTTTGCTGTGTATAGAAACGAAACAAGACAACATACAAAGAAGAGGAATCAACAGTCTTTTCTTCAAGCTTCTTAGTCAAGCCTTTATTGCCCCAAAGAAAAACAAATCGAACCCTAGCTCACTGGAATTAACAAAACGCCAGTGCTACAAAATGGTTTCAACTACAGGCTTATAACTTCAAAATATCATCAAATCTTGACCTACCTCATTCTTTGTTATTTTTTTCACGCTTTCCAAGTATGAAATTCTGTGTTGGCGATATCAAACACACAAAAACAAGCGAAAACAAGCTTAATATCGAGTGCATACTTCAACCACGATGGGCACCATTTTGTGTCTCGTCCCAGTCCCCAACGTGCAAATTCTCCATCCTGACTACGATCTGAAAACCATGTCCACCTTTCACGGCAGTTTGTGAGAAAACAAGTACGATGACACCCGATTTTTTTTTCAGGTATTTGCTATGAACAGTCTAATAAAGAACACATTTGAAGAAGGAAAAAAGTTTGATAGTATAACATGATTTTTTTTGGAAAACAGTTCCGTACTTGGTGCATTTTGGCCAAGGCGAGGACTTCAAGCTAAGCACGGAACTGTCCGAAAAAGTGCAAAATCCCCACAACCTAGCGATAAAAAAAAGCTAAAATGAAGCACTACTGCTTATTTTGATAAAATAACCTTTAATTTCAAAATAAAATTTTGTTTCTTTCAAGTTACCAAGGCTAAACTCGGTATGAAGGTGATTCGAATTTTTAAAGGACAACCAGTAAAAATACCCCATTTTAACAGCCTGCTGACGCGTAAACAAGCACGGTGACCCCATTTTTTTATTACATTTTTTTAATGTTTATATCATAAATGTTAATTATACCAAGTTTCAAAAAAAGTTTGATAGTAGAACAATTTCAAAGGAATTACCTTAAGTGTCAATTTACTAGGCTGTTATTAGGTTAACTTCGTTATTCAATGTTTTTATTTTCCTGATATATATATATATATA